TCCAAATAATTTTTAGGTGTTAATTGTTTATTTTGTCGTAAACTAACACCTTTCATTTTTTGTGCAATCTTTTTAAAATCACTTCCATCAATTGAACCGTTGAATGATGTATAACACTTAGGGCATAAAGCAACCATGTTATCACCTTGTTTCTCAATTGCTAAACCCAATATCTTCTTCTCATGTGCTTTTTCTTCAGCTTTATTCTTTAATTTAGGTTTAAATTTCTCATCAAAACAGAAGAAATCAAATAGTGCGAATTTGAAAATGTTTTTATCATAAAATTGTTTATCGGTAACAATTGCTTGAAATGCTTGAGTGTTAGGAAGATTTGGATCGCCAGCAATAGCCCAATAAGATGAATCAGTATCACCTTCAATGAAATGAAAACGATTAACATTCAAGCATTTATACATAAAATCATAAATGAAAACCAAATACCAGTATTTAGCATTATCTAAAGTGAAGAATGCCTCTTGTAAACATGTATCACATCTATAAAATCTATCTTTGAGCATCACTTGATACGTATCCTCTCCTATTTCTCTTATGTTTTTAAACTTATTTGACATACATGCAACGCGTGCCTTCTGTGCATTCATTATTTTAGTCTTTGCGTAATTTTGCGTATTCATTGCATCGTAACCATATGATCCATTAAGCGAAATCTTGCAAAATAAACTTTTTCCTTTATTTCCTTCTAATTCAGCCTTTTGTCTTTCGTTCATAAATTCGTTCGCAAATTCATTAAAACAAGTGTTTTTAGTAAATGTTAAAATTGATTGAATATCATCGATGATAAAATGAAATCTGTCTATTAGATACCAAAGATAATAAGAAGAAAATGGTTGATATTGGTTGTGTGTTGATGCTAACTGAGTTAATTTCCTCTGTTTCTGGTCAACTGGTAGATTGTTTGATTTCATGTAATTATACATAAAACTGCCAATTGTTTTTTCATCTGTGATAATATCTAAGTTTCTTATTATTGGTAAAAAGTTTATGTAATCATTAATGTATTTTTCATCAATGTGACCCTTTACTTCAGCCACGAATAAAGTATTTTTCTTTCTAATAATTCCCAGTGCTTTTGCTTTCTTTGTTGCTGTATCACAAATGATAACACCATTCAATCTTCCCGGCATATACATTTTATGGTCAGTATATTGAATGAAATCATGAGGATTAGATGAAAATGATGAAGGATATAATGAATTAAAATCAACACCAACGAAATGAGTCATAATGTTGGAAGTGTCCTCATTTGATACAGTTTTAGTTTCTGGACTATATGAAAGTTTATTAATGTGCGTGATTCCTTTAAGATTTACTCTATGTTGAACATTTGATAGACCACCAGTAATTCCATTACGGAGAATGTGATAAGCTTCAACTGAATCGAAAGTCATTGGTAAATTATTTTTTAATGCATAATTTCTTAAATTGATTCTTAAACGTTGAACATCTTCATCTTTATTTGATTTTACGACATTGCAATAACAACACATTAACTGACAATTTTCTTTGGTATGTGGTTTTTCATTATCGATTCTATCCAATGTTGGTTTATTTGCATATGTAAACGCTTTACCACACATTTTGCATTTAGATGAAAGATTAAATCGTGATAGTATTGAAAATCATCCATTGAAACATTATTTTTAGTATCCCTTTCTGCTTTTTCATTTTGTTTCTTATATGATTCAATTTTATATTTCCAATACTTTTTCGTTAATTCAAAACTTGATTCTATCTCTTCCTCGGGATATTTTTCATTAGGATTAAAGTCTTTATATGCTAAAGCGTAACGAATCATTGAAGCATTCGATGATAAAGAAAGATTATGAAGCGTGTCAATTTTATAAACAAATGTTTCTTCAATAATTTTATCGATTGGGTCAATCATAATTTCAACATCTTTATTGCAATAATGAATAAAATATTCTAATCTATTCTTAAAATTTTTAGCATCATTGAGATATATTTGATAATCACTATCTGATATAGTTTCTTGAGTTAATGCTGAATAAAATGAATCTTTCGTGAATGGTTCCTCTTTATATAATTCTTCTTCGTAATTTTCCCACGTGATGAATTGATAAGGGAAAAAGGATTTAACACGTGATTTATTGTTTCCGAAATCTTGAGTGAATTGGTCTAATGTCCCACCCGCTATATAATTTCTGATGTCAATAAATCTCAATTCATATGGAACGTTTGTTTTCTTTAAGATGATTTGCTTAAATTGTGAAGATGAACCCAGCATTGATTTTATTTTCCATTTTGCAGTGTTTAAATCATGAAGAATTAAATTTAAATCAAACTTTCCCGAATTAAAACCTATGATATTCACTTTATTGAATTCCTCATCTAGAAGTTCTTTAAATGCTTCCTTCTGTTTTTCATTTAATGTATGAGACAAAGTCCCCACCGTTTGCGGCTTCAATAATTCTTCATATTGTTCAATATTTGATTTAGCAACTAATGAACAGGTTGAAAATAAAAACTCATTCCAATCAGAAATAAAAGAATCACTCGAAGTTAAGCAAAAATTCCTCGTATACGTTTTATCATTTAATTTAACCGTTGATGATACCATGAATGGTTTTAAGTAAGCGTTCAAAGTTGCACACTCAGAAAGTTGTAATTCTTCTTTAGTCTCTAATGTTTCAAAGTCAAAAGTAATATAATATCTTGTCGGTTTATAATATTTCTGCAAATTGTGAGCTAATAACCACTGATATATCTTCTGTTTCATAATGTGTGGTGCATATGGTTGCTGTGTCTTTTGCAACTGAACGTCTTGAATTAATCTTCCATTATTTTCTTTACATTTCTCACAATGCTTTAAAAATCTTCTTTGGTTTTTCCTTTCTGGGTCATCACGGATAGAATAAACTTCTTCTTTACAATATGGACAAACTTTATAGCCGGTGAGTGCTTCAACGTCTGTTATTCTGTCAGCGTGAAGTTTTCCACATGGACTCTGTGTTAATAAAATATTTACTGTTTCAAATTCTGGATCTATCATTATTGATTCCACTAATGGAAAGTCTACCTTATTTATGTCCACGTCTTCTGGTTGAGGATCACAATAATAGAAATCAATATTAACATTTAACATTCTCGCTAATCTCTCACTTTCTGATGAAATGTCAAACCCCTCATATGCATCTATTGCTTCATTTAAATAGCTTCTACGAGTTTTAGGATTAACACCATCAGGAATGTTATAGAAGTGTTTAAATAACCTTCTACCTTCTGCTCTAATTTGATTATCATTCATTTTAGCTGTTCCGTTTTTGTTCATTTATGTAAGAATAAAAAATTAAAAAATAAATAAAAATAAAGTTTATTTTTTAAAGCCCATAAAATGAATTAAGAACACATAAATTTTTATCATCCGCGACGTGACGAATACATTTTAATTTACTCAAGAATGCGTACCCTGATACATTAAATCTAATTCCTGTCTTATTTAATTTCACAACTTTGAAAAGGAATGTATGAATAGCTATAAAATGATGAGAAGATGTTTTATGGGTTGCTTCCATTTTTTCTGAAATAAATGAATAAATATAATGTTTATAAGTTTTCATATCTTTTATGTTCTTAATAACGAATGGTATAGACCTTTCAACTTCGTCTTCCTTCGGTGCTGTTCTTTCATATGAAACATTATTAGTATCTTCAATAATGAAACCACAATCACACAAAATTTTATAGGTTCCAATGGTTTCTTTTGATATTTTATCTAATAAATCAAAAACTTTATCAACACCTGTGCATTTATTTAAATAATAATTTGTGTAAATATCATGATCTTCTTTCTTAATCGTATTAGTTGCATATGTCACGTTTTTAAGAGCTTTTTTGAATTTTTCGGAATCTAAAGGTGGTGAAAGTAGGATACAGGGGTATTCTTCATTATCAATAAATTGTAACTTATGTTTACGAATAAATTTAGTACCTTCTTCTGAAAGTGTTTCGTCTATTTCACCATCTAATAAATTTTGTGTTGATTCTGAGACATAATTTTTATATCTTTCTTCATGAGATTTCTGTACTTCTGATTCTGAAGCTGGGATATTCATTAAACCCTCTACTTCATTTTCATTATATTTTTCAACTTCTCTTAATTCCTTAATTTTTTCATCTATTTCATCTCTTATTTTTTTCAGTCTTTCAATTTCACTGTATTCATCATCTTTAATCCGTTCTTCATAATATTCAGGGAAAACATCAGGTTCTTTAGGTTTTTCTTCTTCAGATGTGGGATATAAGAAATTTATAACATCATCTTTATTCATTTTTCCATCATAATCTAAATCATTTAATAACTCCGCGAATTTTTTACAATTTCTTAAATAATATTTATTAACTTCATAACACATCTCATCTAATATATCCTTTATTTCCTCGTTTGTGAATCCTAATTTTTTAACGTTGTTAGTTTTGACGCTCATTTCATACAAAATAAAAAAATAAAATAATAAACATAACTAAGTTTTAATTTTTCGTAAGACATGAATTTTTAAAGTTTATTTTACTCGTTTATGACTCCATTGATTCCATTCAGGATTTAAACAATGTTTAATTAATCGCGGAATATCTGACATCATCTATATATAGCTTCTTTTATAAAAGATGAAATATATTATTTTAAAATTAATGTTAATTTTTTAATGATTTATTTTTAAAAAAAAATTATTTTTTATTTCATTATGTATGGGCTGAGTGTAAATGTCTTACAATTTTGAAAATTTTTTAAATCTTGATTTATTCAAAAACGTAAGAATAAAAACCGTAAGAATCATACATTTTTTACTTCATATGTTAAAAAAAATGATACAAAATCGCTCGATATTGTATGAATTCTTACGTTTACAAAAAAGTCACAAAACCCATCATATCCTACTACTCTAACAAAAATTTATAAATGCAATATTATTTTCCGTTTTAAATACACTTATTGGGATCGCTTGTGCTATGTCATACTTTTAAAGCTCGTCATTTGAGAGATTAGATTTGATCCACGTAATAAGATCAGATTTCTCTTCTTTTGTGTAGTAAATGGCCTTTTCTCTGCGAATAATAGCAACGATGGGTGTTTTTTCTTTAACATCCAAAGGAATTGCGTTTTTACTGTAATCAACTGTTCCAAACAAAGCCGAATTACCAATTTCAGCCTCAGCATCGACCAGTTTATCCATCAAGACAGATGTTACGTAGTTGTCGCTAGTGTAAATCAGTAATACGAACGGTTTTTCGGAATTTCCGACTTCTTTTTCATAATTTAACCCAACAATCCGCTTAATTGGTCCATCATTATCTGTTGGTAATTCTTCTGATTTAACATACGCAGGGATTTTTCCACTAATTACTTCTTTTATGAATTCTGAAGGAATTTGGTCGGTTCTTCTTATCCATCGTTTAGGTTCTGGATCTGCACTTACAGCAATAACGGCGATAACTGGTGTTGGAGCATCAGAAGGTGGTTGAACAACATCATCAAAGACTGTACCTGTTATTGAGGTGAAATATGTAGTCTTTACACCTGCACTTCCAATGTTTTCGAGGATTCTTAAGTCATCGTTTGTAAATTCTTCATATGATTTATCAAATTTAACCATTACGACATTTGCACCATTAACAAATACCTCGTTAACGATTTCTGGCGAATACCTCATGTATTTCGGATTTTTGTTCTTAGAAAGGAATTCGGAAATTAAATTTCTTTCAATTTTAGTAGAAACTTCAAGGAATTGACGATCTTCAGCACGGTAATATAATAAGTTTGCCTTTGGTTTGTATTGTGGAAGAGCTTGATGAAGAATATCCCATGAAACAATTGAATAAAATCGATAATCCAAAGAAAATTCATCAGCTTCTCGTTGTTCTTCCTTTGAAAGTCGATGGTTTGCAATGAAGAAACTTTTGTTTGCATTGAGAAGATCTATAAATTCTGTGTATGTATCGATTAATTTTCCTGCTGGGGTGAATTTTTCGTTCATGCACTCGAGCAGTGGTCCTTTTATATCTCTGTTGATGCATTTTGCATATTTTCCGTATCTTGGAAGAATTAATTCGGGAGTTCCTGAAACATTAAAATAGCGAACTGTTTGTTTGCAATTTTCGTAGTCAACAATGTAGAATTTGCATTTGTGTGGATTTTGCTTGGCGAGCAATTGGAAATTAGGATAAAATTCTTTGCAATGTGAGCAGATTTTAGATTTAATGAAAACAAATGAATTTCTGTGCTCATTTAGCACTTGAGTGTAATTAGCATCGCATATGTAATCAACATTTGGTTCTTCAAAATAAGGATAGAGATATCCGATTAATCCGAATATCAGAAAATTCATTGACTAAATAAAATAAAGAGCCAACTGGATATAAAACAGTACTATTAGGTTATTAAATATGTGATAAAACCAATATTAATTATGTTATTGCCATTTTCTGATGCCTTCACAAATTTCCAATTTAAGGTTTTATTTTTTATACATCTTCACACCTGTATTCCACTTTTCAATGCGCCTCTATCTAAATTTTCTCAAAATATCAAGGAATAATTTTCACTTAGATCAAAATTCTGACGAAGTATGGAATAAATTTTACGAAGAAACATCAAAATTCGAACTTATTAGCGGACAAAATGTTAATACAAAATCAGCAGCTGGCGAATGCTTCATCTACAACTGTATCTTTTTTCATATAACAACTAACAGTGTCTTTTTTTTTATGATACCAACAATTTGAAACAATTTCTTAATTCTGATTGTTCATTTAATGATTGCAGTAGTAGTAATACAAAAGGTGCATCTATCCGCTTTTATTGTGATAGCTCCATTGTCCAATACCGAACATGTAGTTACAAAACTAAATCAAGTCAAGGAGGACATCATTCATATGTTGAAACTAAAGGTTCAAATAATAAAAATTATATTTATGAAAGTTCATTTTATGAATGTGGATATTTAGAAAAACAATATACAAATTATCTTGATAAAGGAAAGATTGAAGTTAAATCAATCAACACAAGTTTCTGTAAAGCAGAATCTCACTCAGGAATATATATAAGTACTCGAACTAACGAAATTAACATTACTTTTTCATCAATTTATAACACAACATCAGCAGGTACAATTATATATTTAGTTGGTTCTGGTTCCAATCCTAATTATAATTTTAAATTTTGTAATGTTTTGAAAAATTATCACAAAAAAGATGATTCTAAAACATTCATTTTTCAATCAGCATTTGCTCTTATTGAAAACTGTTCAATTCTTGGAAACGAAGGAAAAGGTCAAGAATTTTATGTATATGAAGGATTTCATATTACAATTAAAGATTCATTCTGTGACAAAATTAATAAAACAAAAGGAGCCTTTACACCAATTAATATTCAATCAGAATATTCAATTCAGAATATTTCTCACTTTTCATCATATATTTGCGAAACACAATATCCAACTACATCTCGAATCCATCCAAATGAAACAGGCTATAATATACAGCCTTTGCTCACTCATAGACGACTTCGAGTTTAATCTTAGAAGTTTGATATTGCAATACGAAGAATTATGCCACTTTCTGACTTTAATTCAACTATATGACAATATGCGTCATTATATATTTGTTTAGTCGAATCAGCCTTAAGGGTGCACTTGTCACTTTCTGACATTCTCTCAATTTTTTTGACACGCAAGCTTTCTATCCCAATATTCTAAGGTCAAAATTTAATATTTTTGGTCAGGAGAAAGTAAATATAAATCAGTATATAGTACCTAATATGTCTGCTATAGTTTTCTGCCATTAAAATAAAGATATATTGATTTTTTAATAGCATGTCAGAAATTGGTGAGAGCACCCTCAAACAACATAATAGAAGACCATGTTATACTGTAATAAGTGCATCCTTAAGATTTACCTCTCAACGGCTATTTTTTGAATTTCCTTAATTCCTTATTAAAGCATATTATTAATTTCTAATAAAGCAATTTTTCTTATTTTCATCAACTTTCAATTTTTGATTAAAAATTCACATCTCAAATTGGATTTTGATATATTTATTATGCTACAATAGGTGTATAGACTTAATTCTTTATTCTACTACAATATATTATATCAAAATTCTCTAATATCACCCAAAATTGGAGAATATCTCAGAATATCTAATCAGTATGTTCTTGTCAATATGGGAAACATATTCTCTCGTAAAAGTCGATATCCAAACCCTCTGTATAAAGATGTCTACAGCTTTTTTTCGTTGTCTACAACTTATTTCGGGTATCCTATATATTCAGAATACAGCATTATTATTATAAAAATATTAGGTTTTATCCACCAGTAGTAATGAAGTAATAGATCTTCAAGAAAACTTTTAAAAAATAAAGGAAAGAAAGATTTTATTCAAAATTTATAGGTTCTTCTCTCATGCCCTCGGCACCAATGCTTGCAGCGACAACATTATATTTAGAAAACAATGAAGCCTTCTTTTCTACGTCTGGGCCAGTCACAAGCATGATTCCTCCCATTCCTGCGCCAGAGATTTTTGCAGAAAGAGCATTGTTGACTGCAATTTTCACAATGTCTTCTGACTCATGGCAACTCAAGCCAAAACTGGACAATAAGCAGTGCGCTGGGTAGAAGAGGTCATGCATTACTTGTTTCTTGTCAGAATCTTTCGATTCTAAGAAAGAATTCGTAATATCGCCCATTGATTTAATTAATGGTTTGAAAACTTTGGGATATTGGGTCAATAAGTCTTTGACGTGAGATACTGCTGCTTTTGTATTGCGTTCGCGGTTGGTTCCAACAATAAGAAGAGGTACTTCTGGTAATTTTACTTGTTTTAATGTTCGATTTTCCATTTTGATGCCTCCTCCGTATACAACTGTAGCTGGATCAATTCCTGATGGATTTCCATGGTAGAATTTCTCTAATTCTTTGGTTCTTTGGAAGATAAAGTCGTGACTTAAATTTCCATTACTGATTTTGGAAGCTATAGCGGCCATACATGCGCACAATGATGCAGAAGATCCGAGTCCACCAGTTGGGAAGTCTTGAATGATATTAATATCCAGTTGATAATTTTTCGGAACTAATCCATCAAAAGCAGAGCGGATCATATAGTAAGTTGTGCGATTATCCTTGTGTACGTTATCGAATGGATCATAGCTGATGACTTTATCTTCAAATGTCACGTTAACAAAGGATTTATTTGATGGATAAATTTTCCCACTAGCGAACATTCTTCTGGAAATAGCAGAAGCGACAGCAGCTTCGCCATAAACCACTGCGTGTTCTCCAAAAAGAATAACTTTCCCTGGAAACGAGAATGAAAATTTCAACATTTTTGTTTCTGTCAAAATCGAACTTTACAAAATGTCAGAAAAAATAAAATAATAAATTTGAAAATGTCTAGTATCGCAGTTCGTTTAGCAAATGAGAAGATGCTAGACTATTCTAAATATAACGCTAGTGAAATGCGTGCGTTATTTGAGAATTCTCAGTCTGTTTTAGAGAAAGAAAGAAAAAAGAATTCTAATCTAGCTTTATCACTTATTGAATACGAAAAGAATGCAGCATTAATGCAAGACAAGATTAACAAGCTACTTTCTAGGCTCACAAAGACAAAAGAACATTACCAAATTCAAATTCAAGAATTTTCCAAGATTCAAATTGAACTTAAACAGCAAATAGAAATCAAAGAAAAGACTATCATTGAAATGAAATCGAAATTGCAAGCGAAAGCCTCTCCATCAAAAGTTAACGAGTTACAAACTTTAATAATTGATCTGAAAAATCAATTAGATATTAAAGAAAAAATGATTATAGACTTAAAGTCGAAGGTTAAGAGTGAAACAAGTACTTCATCTAAAGTAGAAGAATTGCAAAATATCATTATCGACTTACGCGCTCAAAATACTAGTCTTTCAAATCAAATTAATAAATTAATATCTAATAATAAAGAATTTGAGCTCAACAAAACTATTGAATCTCTTCAATCCAAAGTTTCAGAATTATCTTCAACGGCACAACAATATATTGATAGAGCAAACCATCAAAAAGAACTATTTAATAAGGTGCAGAATGATAATATCGAACTTAAAAATACACTTTCCACTGTCAATAAGCAACTTATTGATTCATTAGAACAGAATAAGAAACTAAATAAGCTTCTTGATATATCTAAACAAAAAGAGGAATCATTTAATATACAAACTACCACTGCCAACCAAAACGTAAATAAATACACTCAAATGGCTAAAGAATTAGCAGAACAACTATCGCATGAAACAGAAAAATATGCACAGTTAGAAAAGAAATACGAAGAATTATCTCAGAAATCATCAACAACATCCTACGAAGAACAAAGATTAAACGCAATTATTTCAAATCTCAGAGAAGAAAACGATAGACTATCAGCAAAGAACAGAGAGTTAAATAATACAATATTTACTTATAATATGGATAAGAAATATAAGATCACGCCAAAGAATTGTAAATGTTGCTGTGATACAGACAACGCTTCACGCGAACATAGGGAATGCGTAAGAATTGAAGGTGAACTTATACGTATTAAAAGCGAAAATGTCCAAAATAAGAAGGAATTGGAGTTTATGAGGGAAAATTCGCTGGATTTGAAGAAATATGGATTTTTATTAGCTGATGCAGTTGGATCTTCATTTGACCCTGATCGTGCTGAAGAAGAGATAAAGCGATTATTAGAAATTGCTAGAGAACATCATCAAAAGGTAAATGATACTGCGCGTGTTCCTTTGGACCCATTTGATTATTGATAATATTATATTTGTATATATTGATATTTGTAAATAGTTTTTGTATTGTATTTTTCTCTTTTTTACTTGAATTTTTAATTCAATATTAGGCAATTTCTCATTTATACCATAATTTACTTAATTAAAAGTATATGTTTCATGAAATTTGATCTGTTCCATCTCAGAATATCACCAAAATCAATCTGGAATTTTCCAAATTTTTTTCATTTCCAAACTTTTGATTTGAAAAAATAAGAAAAATTTGTTAAATTTATCAAAATCTAAGATTTTTATGATTTTCTCCAAAATATAAATATCATAAATATTATTAATTTTTAATATATAATTGATTTTTCTACAATTTCTTTCAAAATTCATAGAGTTTTAAAATCATTTAGTTAAATTCTCAACATCCACTCATAATGATGCAGAAATAAGCAATAACACTTACACTTTATCACTAAAAATGAAGAGTAATTGCTATTAAGATCATATTTTTTAAATGTTGCAACGTTATTCCGCAGGTTTCAAAATATCCTCTTTAGCTACTTTATTACCATCCAATAAAATTCACATTACGCCCTATTTGAAGATACCCCGCATTAAAAATACTTAATTTCACATCCATTTTTTTAGAAAACGAAATATTTGCAAACCAGATCATATTAAGCTTCGTTTTTATACCAAAGAAATTCTAATTTCCTTATATTTCACATCTTATGAATATAGCAAATCAATCATTAACAGTTACATTACAAAATCTCCCAGTAGATAACCAATATGCCGATTTTCAAAAGCAAAATGTCACATTAAAATACCCATGTAGTCAAGAGACTAACAAGTGCAATCCATATAAAATTGAATTTAAACCAGGATTATATTTTATAGAATTATGGGGTGCATCAGGAGGATACTCTGATAGCTATCCAGAATTGGGTGGCTATGGTGCCTATGCATCAGGATTCCTTCCGCTCCCTAAAAAATCCATTTTTTATATTTATCTCGGCCAGCAAGGGAAATGCAATGGGTCTACTACCTTTAATGGCGGTGGAAGAGGTACTTATGAATCTCCAGCAGTGTCCTTTTCAGGATCAGGAGGTGGCGCGAGTGATATGAGAATAACTCCTGGTGAATGGAGCGATTTAAACTCTTTGAAATCGAGAATCATCGTTTCTGCAGGGGGTGCCGGGTCATTGTATTATTACACATTTTTACAAGGTGGCCATGCAGGAGCAATAAATGGATATGGAGGCTTGCAACATCAGAATGCCCCCAGCCCATATACACTTACAAATTCAATTGGAGCATCAAATATTTTAGGTGGAATTTCTTGTATGAAAAGTTATCTTAATCCTAGTGATACAATTAATGGATCTTTTGGGATTGGTGCAAGCCCAGAAAATACTGTATATGGGGCTGGTGGTGGTGGAGGTTACTACGGTGGAGGTGCTGGTACCGAAGTTACAAATATTGTTGGATCGGGATCAGGTGGATCATCTTTTATATCAGGTTACAAAGATTGCAATGCTATTTCGAAAGATTACCAATTAAATAATCAAAAACACACAAATCAGCCTGATCATTACTCAGGATATATCTTTGCAAACCCTGTAATGAAAGATGGTCTTGCCACACAATACATTGGAAATGGCAAGGCTCGAATCACCGTTGTTCATCAAAATTATTTTAATTTAGAAAAAAGTTGTGTTCATTTCTATATTCCAAACAGATTTAGTGTGTTCATATTTATAGTTATTTTGTTTGATAGTTAATTTTATAAAGATTTAGAAATAATAATATATTTGGCATTTTTTTACCTCAGCCCGGTTCGATCATATTCATACAAGACACACAAATTGTGGCGCCTATTGAAAAACTCATCGTCGAGTATTCAAGCAAAATTTATAGTCTAAATTTTATTTTTTAATTGAAAAGAATCGCATCAAAATTTTGCCAAAAATTTTGATTTATTAAAATGGATACAAACAAATACCCTTTGCCTGATCAATTATCTATCCCTTACAATAAATTAGATAACTTGATTTCATCAATTGAATCAATTCATCAAAAATTATCAAATCTAGAAATTAAAGTTGATAATCTTACAAATATTGTTAATTCTATGGCAAATTGCAAAACCAAAGAAATAGATCCAACCGAGATTTGCTTATGTGTTGGCATTAGAGTTCCTCCAGAAGTTAGAAATCAACTTTGTGAATTTCGCGATAATATTAAAAAGAATAATCAGTTCAAAGAATACAGACAAGATGATGACTTTCATATCACATTACATTTCTTAGGAAAGGTTGAAAAGTCCAGAATACCTGAAATTCAAGAAATTCTACAAAAAATTGCCAATAACTATTCAGTGTTTGAAATATCCCTCGGTAAACCAGGAACATTAGGAAGCAATACCAGACCAAATGTTTTATTCATTCAACCCGATGGCGATTTCAGATCATTATATGATTTAGGAATGAAAATAAGAAAGTCATGCGATGAAAAAGGATTCAACACAGATAAGTTTGATGATTATGAGCCTCATATCTCAATTGCTACAAATTTCAGATCAAATGAAGATTTTGTTCAAATTCCACATGACATTTATCCTCCTAAGTTAAGCTTCACTGTCAATAAATTTGAATTGCTCCAAGCAACAAATTCAAAAGATGCCAAATATTTGACACTTTCAGAATTCGAATTAAAATAAATTTTGTGCCCCTCCCGCTCCAAATGAAGAATCTTATTGTGATCTTGCCAATATTTGAATTTCTAATTTCTTATTTTATTTGCTTATCCCAATAGGGCTGTTGTTTGTAAAGGTACGGACACTCTTTAACCTTATTTTATTTAAAAATGCTAGGATATTTTCAAGGATCATATCTCCCTATGTATTTTATTAAGCAAGCCATCATTGGGGCAATGCAATAGAACATAGCAATCTATACTTTGTAATAGGATGTTAACTCGAATGATCTCTCTTTGGATTGATTATATTTTATAATTTCAGTAAATGTCGTTAAAAACTATTCACAGTAATAGGGTAGCTTCCAAAACTATTAGAACCAAGAATTACGTTTACAAAAGCATAGATTAAAAAATGAAATTTCGATTCGATAGTATCCAACCAAAATTTTTGTTAGATAATCAGATATATAAATCGCATTCAAATGGTAAATGCACAGTTGAAATATACAGTAAATCTGTCAATACAATTTTTGTGTAGAGATTAAATTGCGATGTTAAAATGCATTGATGCAGTTTTGCAGAAGTGTTTTGACTTTCCTTACCGAATTATATTTGTTTGCCAAACAATTACTTGGATTTCATGAGGTTTATTCCAAATTGAAAATTGAAATCTTATCACACTGTTATTGCTTGATATCATAATCAATAACCATTACCAGGAATTAACGAATACATTTAGATACATTTATTATATTGACTTGTTGTTATAGAAATAAAATCATTATTAATTTATCTGCAATTTGTATGATATATATCATCTTTATCATAATTTCTGAGATTTGACCAGCTTTAAGTTGAAGAATGAAAAAATTTAATATCAGAATCAAAAAAAAATTGCAAATTTGCACTTCAAAATGATTGAACTTCAAAATATGGATAATAATACAACAAGTTGGTTTTCCAAAAAATATTCTAAATCTATTTTTTCAGGTGAAAAATCAAATATTTGATTCTCATTTTTCTTTTTTTGAATTTTTTTGGGAATTTTCAACTATGACTCAGAGCAGAAAGAGTATCGCAACTTTATTTAATAGCATATAATATGATGAGTTATATGTTTATTTTATACTCATATTTTTGATCACAAATATCTTACCAAATACTATGAAATTTTATAACAATTGTATTACAGTGTTCACAAATATGAGCTAAATCAGTAAAACACGTCGATGAAAAGAGTATAAAACAGATTTTTAGTCTATTTATTTTCATATTACAAGCTTCAACATGCAATGTTAAAATTGTAGTAGACATATGAAATCCTTGAACTTGTTAGTACTAAGTGCATGATAAAGAAAGCTTCAATTTTATACCAATATTGTAAATTGAATCAAATATACGGCATTATATTGATATATAATTCGTTTTATGATATAGCACTGATATGCTACTTGTACTGGATTGTACTATCGTGATATTTAAGAGATTTTTCTCGATGATTCTGGATGATGATATAACTCTAGATTGTATTTGCCGATTTTCTCCAAACTACGTATTCTACATATGCATAATATATATAGCCTGCAGCTGGAGTTTAAGGCCAAAATTTTGGTTAGAAGGGAGTGTCCGTACCTTTTTGTTTGTTGTCTTTCTTTGAAACAAAAATTTAATAAATGTATAACATATGCATCAATCTTATTTTTTTAAGGGTGCTCTTACCACTTTCTGATAAGTTATGAAAAAAATCAATATATCTTTATTTTAATAGCAGAAAACTATAGCAGACATATTAGATACCATATACTGATTTATATTTACTTTCTCCTGACCGAAAATATTAACTTTTGTCCTTAGAATATTGGGATGGAAAGCTTGTGTTCCAAAAAAATTGAGAGAATGTCAGAAAGTGACAAGTGCCCCTTAAAGTTGTTAAAATTTAATTAATTCATAACTATCATTGATGTAATACTGAGACATGTGATTCCATGTTAAATAAAACTTTTAAAACTTAAGTGTGCAAAACGCAAAATTGCATATATTTTATTTTGCATCATGTAATTCTTGATGCAACTTTTGCAAGCTTCGCTTCGCTCAGGCCCGCAATAGTGACATCATTATTTACATTTATGAGTTATGTTAATTTTATTTTCATCCATTATTTATCACGGCCTGCGCGCTGATAGAAATGAACGTGTATGTATAGAGTCTCTCATATATTAATATCATTTTCAATAAACTCATTTGGCACATTTATATAAAGCTCCTTTAGATCTCTCTAGATGAATGAGATGTACTTGCCTTCCGCAATTATAATTAGATTAAGAAGTTTGAAAATAACAGAATATATATATATATATTCCAATATATAATATATGTTTTTATTTCTTAAATTTTAAAGTATCCGTTTCCTTAAAACTGGAGCTTACTGAGACCTAAAATTTGAAAATTCGATGCTATTGTATTTCCCAATTTCGATATTTTATAGATAAAATAAAAATTTGATAAGAAATATTTTTGAAATTGATTTGTTTCAGCTTAATCTTAATTAATAAATGAAAATATGTTAATTTCGTTTCATGCTTAGATGTTTGGAAATAATGAATTCATTATTTTATTTTCCTGCAAAAAGAAATATTCTTTTCAGTTTTTGATGATGTATGATACTTCAAATACTATTTGATCTAATGTCATTGTTTGGAAATGAAACCAAAATAGTGATTTTTTTTTGATTATTATTTAAGGGTGCACCCGTATGTACGTTTATTTGAGAGGAGGAGGATTACCCTCTCAATTTTGAGGGATTCGTTAGTTTATTTTCTCGATGAATATGCAATAAAATTTGATTTTTACCTTATCAATATACTTCATATAATATACACATGTTCATGTAAAAACTTTTTTCCAAAATCCTCAGGAATTAAGGGATTTTTGAATTTTAAGAATTTTTTTCGAATTTTTTCGAAAAAAAAAATATTTTCAGAACAGCCTTAACTGCTAAGATTTAGGAACAATGTTAAGTATCAAAAAGAAAGGAGGTCTGATATAGACAACATATATCGTTGAAGGTTGAAAAAATCTCTAATATTTGAGCCCAAAATTTCAAATTTTAATTTTTTGAAAAAAGAGGCCACCCGTATGTACGTTTATTTGAGAGGAGGAGGATTATATTTTTGAAAGGGTGAAACATTATGAATATGTTAATTATATAATAATATGTATTATTATAAAAAAGAAAAAATAAAGCACGTTAAAATTTTTCTTTCTTGATTTTTTACAAAATCTACTTAGAATTATGCAAAATATGACTAAATAATTATAAATTTCAAGTTAAATTTTAATTTTGATAAATAATTTAAATTTCAAGTTAAATTTTAATTTTGATAAATAATTTAAATTTCAAAATATCAAGTTCAGTTCGACTATGTATGTAGTAATTCCTCAATAAAGTGCCAAAACCCTATTAAAATATATGAACATTTTCAACATTTTAATGTTTTTATTTAAAAATTTGATGGAATATGAGCTTCAAACAATTATTATGTAAATAAAAATAATTAAATATATGTATTTATTCGTATTACAACCGTAGTAAGTCGATTCTTCCTTTCTTCTACTGAGTTTTGAATTTGATTTCGAATTGTAAAGAGATTCAAAGGGAAAATACTAGCGGATAAAAACTACCTCAATGAAAGGGTCATAATGGAGTCAAGTTGTATTTTTTGATATTTTTTGCTTTTCGAGCCTAAATAGGTAGCCAAGATAATGCCTAAAAATAAGGTTCTAAATTCTGAAGTTTAAGTGATCCTCTCGTGTGCACCCTTAAAAAACAATGAAAAATTATAATAGATAGTTTAATTTTACAGTTTTATGCTCATAATCTCTGGAATTAGTCATCTCCAGGTTCCCACGATCCATACTCCCAATCACTAATGAAGTGCTGTATGCATGAATCGGCAGAAGCTTTACATTCCAAAGCATCTTCTAGTTGGTAATACTGGGTCCTTGTATTATAATCATAAACTAGGGCTTCGAGCATTTCTCTATCATCTACAGCATAATGAAGAGGAATCTTCCTATTATTATCCCTTTTCCTTATATTGATTGTTTTATCTATGACTTCTAATGCCATTTTCACATCACCACTTATTACAGCATAATGACGGGGCAACTTTCCTTCTTTATCACATATATTAGCACTTACATTAGAGATTAGTTCTTTTACGAGATCTATATCACCACTAATTACTGCATAATGAAGAGCCGTCTTTCCTTCTTTGTCTTGCACGAAGACGAGATCTGGTTCATTTTCAAGTATAAAATCATATACTTGTTGAAAATATTCTACAACATAATAAAGAATAGATTTTCCTTAATAATCATCGATGTTGAGATCTCCATCATAAAATCCATCACGTTCATAAGTTGCAAAATTTTTGGCACTGTTAAGATGTCCTCTGTATTTTTCATCAAAAATATCAGACAATGCAGAAAAAATTGGTTCCCAAACACAAGAGAGATAATAACTTGATTTAACAATGAATTTTTTGATATCTTGTGCTTGTTCATAATGCATAAATAATGCTTGGATATTATCATATTTGAAGCATTGATCGACATCGATTGGAATATTATGTTCATTCATTAAAAATCTAACCCAATCGTTGAGACAAAATTGCATATTCCATGCAATTAGAATCGGGTTTTTGAAATTCCAAACATTCTTTAATAATGTCGGAGTTTCCTCCTAAAAATGAAAGCTCAAGGCAACTTCTTGTGATTGGTATTTTGAATTGATTTCTCAAATATTTGAAACATTTAATTGAGCCGTAATAACAACACGTTTCAAACAGATTTAACTGATTTCTTACACACAGAAAGCCATTAAAGTTGATGATATCACGAGGTAATATGTGTTTTACTGAGAGAGAAGCAAGTAATTTCGCATCATCATAGATGATTGATTTTAATAAGTCACTGATTTTGGATTTAGATTGCTTGTTTACTTGAATATTAAAATGCTTCTTTAGAGTATATACACCATTAGATGAAACATGTTCTTCGTGCAGATAAGAATTATTTTCTTAAATTTTTTGAATTAAAGTCAAATAGGACTTAATATATCGATTGTTTCCCTTTGCTGCGTTTGAAGTGGATTGAAGCAGGAAGGAAAATAATATTTATCGTCGATTTCTTTGAAAAATGCGTCGATCTAGCTTACACTTGATATTCCTAGCCCCCAGAGACTTAATGAATCTCAATAAATTTCCGGGTTTTACATGGGGCGCAAAAACGATTATTTAAAATTGAATCTGAGCATATTTTGTGCATTTGAAAAAGTTTGGAGTTGACTATTATAAATAATCAAAACCATTAATAAAGAATTTCTTTAATTGTGAAGTTCTCCAATTTCATTTCAAATTATGCAAAATATCAAGAGAATTACACTACAATATGCTACAGTTGTGATTTTCTGGCTCTTTGCTCACCAGAAAACAAGCAAATTGTTTATTGTGCTTATATTTCGAATACTCATATGATTTTTGCTTTCTCATATGGAAAATTGTTTTTTATGATTTAGCTATATGTAAAAATAGTTTTTTGTCTTCCCTTTCAATGAGATTGAACGAACTTTGGAGGAATATATTATAACGTAGCACATTTTTCCGGGTCCAGGAAATTTGACAGGTCCTGGCGGTTTTGATTCAATTTTTGAAGAGTGGGTTTGATTTTGATAAGAAAACAATATAAAACCGATTGTAAATTTTGTAGACTATTCAAAATTCCCCAAAAATTCATCAAAGACAATATTTCAAATATAAGTGTTTCTATGAACAATTGTTTGAAATAATACCCAGGACCCTCAAGAAAAAGTGGGATCCAAAAAAATATGCCACGTTATATACTTGTTTAATAGGGACGATAACATTAGCATATAATATAATGTGTATATTTAGTAAAATTAATATACATTTCAAGGCTAGATTTAGAGAAAAATTGATATCCTGATTTTTTGAGTGGCAATAATATTTGTAACTGTATATAGTATCCAGATAACACATTATTGTGTATTGTGAAGTTTACACTTTTTATACAAGTTATCAAAAATATTTTGCAATATCTTGCATAACCCATTATTTGGTACCATTTTTAATTGAATGAAACCTAGGCGACCCGCTCTTGAAGCTTTGCCTTTACGAAATTCAACATGACAGTCTTGTCTTGTTTGAATTAAGGATTTCAACTATTTCTTTCCAATTATTTCTGGCTGCATAATGAAGAGGGGTACATCCATCTTCATCTTCAGCATCGACATCTGCACCATTTGAAATAAGAATTTCTGCAGTTTCTTTCCTATTATTACTGGCTGCATAATGAAGAGGGGTACATCCATCTTCATCTTCAGCATCGACATCTGCACCATTTGAAATAAGAATTTCTGCAGTTTCTTTCCTATTATCTCTGGCTGCATGATGAAAAGGGGTACATCCGGTTTTAGTTTTAGCATTGATATCTGCACCATTTGAAATAAAATATTCTAAAAGTGATGAAAGATGGAAATTCGGAGAATAAACAAAACATGTGTTGATGTTATTTGTTTGATCCAAATAAACTAAAAATGATTGAAGATTGTTGTGTTTACAGCACAATTTTAAATTAATTTTTATGTTGTGTTCATTCATCAAAAATGTAACAAAATCAATATTGTGTGAAATAATTGCATATTCCATGCATTCATCATCTGGTTTTTGTACTTTCAAGCATTCATTTATAATTTCTTGATTTCCACCCAAAAACGAATATCTAAGACAATCTGGAGTGATTTTTGATTGAAATTGCGTTCTTAAGATCTTAAAATAATCAACAGATCCATGATAACAACATAATTCAAGTAACGAAATACCACTTTCTGAATATGGATATAATTCACTTTTTAATTTTTGATTTTTATCAAATTCTTCTCCTTCTGTAAAAATTACCAATGCAATTTTGTCATCATCCATAATAGATCTGTGAAGTGTTTTTTGTTCGTGAATATCAGATGAATAATGAGAATCTTCAAAATCGTTAAAAATTTTTGCATCGTTTTCATTCAATACTATACTGTATTCTTTGTAGAAAAGGTAATTAAAAACTCTGCTGATTTCGTTGACCTGATTTAGATGGCATTCGTCAACAATTTGTTTGACAATCGCTAAATATGACTTCATGAAGCGGTTGTTATAAATTGAAAGTTGAGATATTTTATTGATAATCTCACCAGGCGGAATTCGATAAGAGTCAATCAGGTTTTGTTTAATTTTTCTTCGTCATTTGTTTTCAGCCTGTACAAAGCATCGTAGACATCATTGTACCCTGTGAGGATCTCCATCAATTTGTCATAATGGGCTTGGTTAGTTTCTTCCTTGGACATCAACCAAAAATTTTAGATAAATTTCTCAAAACTCGATACACATTTTTACCGTCAGATTTTTCGTGAGACTACCTTTCTCGATACACATTTTTTTAGTCCAACTCGACTTTTTTCAAATTCAGAGACTTTAATTAGGAAAAAATATAAAAGCATTTAGTACATATTACTGATATGGGTTTAACTTTTTTTTTGAATAATAATTATGCATTTATTTCAATCCATGACATATAATAATAATAATCCATAGGATCGCAATTGCCAGAAAAACATTCACAGAAAGCTTTAACATATTTTATCACGATTTTCCAGATTTCACCAAAATTAATTTTTGGACGTGCTGTATTGACAATTGGTGCTTTATCTTTATCATCTTTCGTATTGACATCTATAGGGTGTCCAAAGGTGTGTTTAGCACAAACCTGAATACTGCGAATAGAAATAAACAAGTTACATATATATAAAGTTTATTTAAATATAATCACCATTGGATTCAATCACGCGTTCGCAGCGATCGATCCAGGCTTCAAAGACACGCTTTAAATCATCATGAGAAAATTGCTCAAATTGCTCTCTTACAAAATTTTCAAGATCATCTGGACTCGCGAATTCGCGTCCTTCAGCTCTCTTTTTTAGCGTGCCGAATAAATAAAAGTCAGAGGGTGCAATATCAGGTGAATAAATTGGGTTTGGAACAACTTTGACATTGTTTTCCACCAAGTAATTCATTACCTTATGACTTTTGTGAACTCTTGAATTATCAAAATGAATTGCAAACTTTTGTTTTTGTTGTTTGGATTTCTCAAACTCATCAGAATTGATAATTTGAGTAAGAACATTGTCAATTAGATACTGAGCATTCATCGTATTAGGTTTTTGAAGAATATCAATTGCGATGATGCCATTCACGCCCCAAAAAACCGACAACATCATCATTGGTGTGTCAATTTTTTTCTTCGGGAATGTTTGCGGATTTTCATCCTTCGGGATCCACATGATTTTGGCTTCTGTTGCATATTGAAACCAAGACTCGTCCCCTGTTACTAAAAAGCGAAACTTCTTGGATTGATACGCACCCAATATAGAGAGGAGCTCTTTCGAAGATTGGACTCTAGATTTTTTTTGAACTGAATTAAGGTTGTGCGGAACCCAACGTGTATACGCTAGTTTGTAGTTCAAATAATTGTGCAGATAATAACTGACTGTTGTACGTGGTATCTTTGTCATCTCCTCTATCCTTCTGAGTGATGCTCTTGGGTCTTCATCTAGCGCTTGAAGAATTGCTTTGATTTTTCTTTGATCCGGCGATTTTTTGTCAATTTTTATGATGGGCGCCTTTTTGTTCATGAAGTGATACATCCTAACATGATACGTTACAGTGGAATAGCTAGGAGCATCCATACCGAAGCATTTTACCAATGTCTCGTAGATTTTTTACAGTCTTTGCATTTTTTTGCAAGAGCGAGGATGTTTTCTTTATGATTCATTAAAAAAATGAAAAAAATCCCGCCAAAATTTCCCGCGAAACCGCCTCTTGTCTCAAAATTCATTTTATATTCCGGCATGGCGCCAAAATACAACTACATTTTTAGCTTTGGCAGTTGCTGCTTTCATGAGAGAATTTTCCCTGATCTTATCTACTGCATTTTTATTTGCACCATGAGAAATAAGTAGTTTTGCTACTTCTACACTATCAGCAAGAGATGCATACATTAGAGGAGTCTCATCACAATTATTTCTTGCTTCTATTTTTGCTCCATTCATAATAAGAATTTCTGCAATTCCTTCACAATTATATGTTGCTGCATGATGTAAAGAAGTATTTTTGGTTGCATCAGTTTCGTTGACATTTGCACCATGTGAAATAAGATATTCACAAAGAGATGAAATGGGAAAGTTGGTTGAATAAACTAATGAAGATTCGAAATTTTTTGTCTGATCTAAGTAAATCGAAAAGACTTCATAATTATGATAATCATTGCAATCTTGTATTTTTATTTCTACTTCATATCCTTTTTGTAGAAAATTAATCATATCAATATTGTGTGAAATAATTGCATATTTCATGCATTCTTCATCTGGTTTTTGCTCTTTCAAACTTTCAGTCATGATGTATGTATTTCCATTCATAATTGAAAATTGAAGGCAAAGAGGAGTAATTGGTGTTGCAAGCTCCTTTCTTAACAACATAAAACATTCAATAGATCCATAGTAACAACAAAGTTCAATTAAAGATAATCCATCCTCCGGGTTTGGGAAGAAACGACTTTTTATTGTTTGATTCTTATCAAAATTGTCTCCATCTATAATTGTTTTCAATTTTTCTTTGTCATCTTCCATAATTGCTTTGATAATTTCATTCTCTTGAAGGAAATCAAATGGATCCTTTTTATAGTATTCTTCATATGTTATGCAGTCAAAAAGATCTGAAAACGACTTATTCAAATTTGGTTGAAATTCGATATAAATTTTTCTGAATATATCACAGTATGCTTTAATGTATCGATTATTATATCTCGCTGCTGTATTTAACATCATAAGAATGCGTGATGAAAAATGATTCTTTGTTTTGAATATTATTTCCCTGCATTTTATATAAATTTGTTTAGTAACATCGCAATCCATTGTCCGTAATTTGAATATTGCATTTGATAAATCATTATAATCTTTACCTATTTCCATAAGTTCATTAAATATACTCATTCGAAAAAAATTGGAAATTTAATAAATTAATTCAAAAAATTTGAATAATGACAATGAAATTTTTATGATAAATTCAATTTTTCAAATTTTTCATTGATGCATATTATGTTTTATATCAAAAATGTTACTGAATTTGAAATTTTCACGTTTTTTTTTAAATCGTTCCTTATTAATGAATTCTAGAGTTATTAAAACATGAATGATATAGAAAGTACCCATAAACACCATTATACATATGTTTGCCAACTTACGCACATGCATCATCCATGATATCCTATTAAATTTTCTTTTTGTTAACAAGATTGAAGCAAGCACTCCCAATAGTGGTTGTATCAAGTTCATTTGATGTTCTAGAATGCTTTGCAGCTCTATTTCAGGAATTACAAGAAGATGCTCCATACAGGACCAGAAAGCCGAAATTTTGAGTCCATTGAGAAATAATTTAAAAATTAGTCATGCAAACAATATAGGAGTATATTTTTATTATGATAAAGAGTTATTAGAAAATATTTTCTAATTCAGCTTCGCCATGGAACCAAGTACCGGTCCATTAAAAAGGCTGCTTGTTAATATTTAAACTATTACTTAAATGTGCATCCATTTGCACATTAATTAAGATTCAAACTCTGGAAACCTAAACGTAAATAGTTATCATTGAAAAAAATTATGGATGAGTCTGTAGATCTTTCCCAACTAGTTATTACAGGGAAATGTGGACTCCTCGTTGCTTTAAAGCACCCACAATTTGAAACATTATGGAATCAAAGAAATATCAATCTCATTGCTTTTATTATTGAATATTATGATGGGATTATTACATTCGGATTTCGAATTAAGAAAGTAGAACCTATCATTCAGCAAAGGTGCGAAATGATTATTTGTCCAAATGACTACAATGTTAAGAAAATTTTATTAAAAGATACAAAATTGTCAAAATTCGTTCTTAAATTTGCATTTCATATATCAGAATACTCCAGCGAAACTATCGAAACATACTTTAGATTACTTCCTAATATTATTTTTAACGCATATGATGCTTTTACTCCTATCTTCTCAAGCCATTCATATTTCGAGAAAATTATACAGAACATAGATAGAGAATGCGTTTTTGAGTTCGTGAAAGACTTTATTGTTCGCGAAGACGAATCAGTTGTGCATTTTCTTGATAGATTTGACATTTTCAAGCTAATTACAGCAGAATGCTATCCAAATAGCGAGAAATCCTATAAGTACAGAAAATTATATGCGATGGTGTTAACCACTAAAGTAGATACATCTAGAGCTTTAGATCAATTACTTGAAACTAGCTATTACACTCCAATAATTCAAAATGAAATAGCAACTTCAGATGACGGATCATGGGAAATGCTATTTCGCTTATCAGCACTTACAAATCTTGTTCCTGCCGCTCAAGAAATTACAGAAGCCATAATTAGAGAGAAAGACACAATTTCTAAGATAGCATTTTCAAAGAGTCCGGTTGCTCCATATGCCCTTGGTATTGTAATCCAAATTTCTTGCGCAAACAAAGAATTAAATGATCAATCCAAAAAAGCTTTGAATATTATACTTTCGAACTTCTTTAGTGGTAATCCAACACCTAAGTTCTACTCAGTTACTAAAGTTTCAATCCAATCTTTAAGAAATGCTGGATTATTATCTGAAGAAATTTTACAAAAGACAAAGCTTTGTAATAGAGTTATTAAAGCTAGCCATTTAAAGAACAAACAGAGTTTTGAGTATTGGAGCAGCCTTTCTGATGTTTCCGGAGAATTACAGATGGTTTCAAGGGATATCGTTGCTGAAGAGACCTGGGACGAAGTATTACATAATATACAGGACCATATGTCTCGCGGAGTCAATGTAAATTCATCATTTTCAAGATGGTGGATTTATCTTTTAATTATATTAGTTGGATTGATAATTATTGGTCTTATGATATACTTCGGGATATATTATGATAGAGATGACTACTTCTTTACGGATTCTGACTTTGATGCCGCATCAGATCTTTAGTTTGTTCTGTATTTTCGTTTTGTATTTATTAAACTTTGTTTTTAATTATTTTTGTTGTACATTTTCTTGACATTCGCATAATTATATCTGAACAATTTCAAAATCAAATTTTATTTGATTCGATTTACATGAATCGGCATTAAACTATGGCATTCCAAACGGGAACCGCGGTTGGTTACCATGGATTTCCGTCACCGGTCACATTTTAAAGATTTTTAAAGCCTTATAAAAATATGCTTTGTAAATCATTTTTTGTAAATCGGCAAAAATTTGGTAATTTTCTTCAACTAATAAATCTGCGAATAGCATTTATAATACAAGAACAATCTTTTAAAATGCGTTTGATTCATTTTTGTATAATTTCATATAGGCACATATATTCTTCCGGGACTTTCCGTGATTTTACCGTAAAATCATTAGTTTACACCAATTTTTCCGTATTTTGAATAGTTTACTGCACTTTTTCCGTAAAATTGAGTTACGGGAATCCGCAAAATTTCCGGACCTCATTTTTCATAGAATATAATAATAATATTTGATAAAAAGATATATTATTTATATTTTTGATTTTTGAATTACGGAAAAAGTGAATTGATAACTTGATTTTTTTATATGGTTAATTTTTCAAATGATATTATGAAGATCTAAAATATTAAAAGTAAAAAATTGAATTACGGAAAAAGTGAGGTCAAAAGTGAAATAAATTTGCAGAACAATTTTCATTGAAATAAGACATTGAGTATCACACTTTAGTGAATCAACATCTATAAGAATGAAGTGTTTTGAAGCTGAAATAATATTGAATAGAAATTAATTTTTTCTGAAATTTTGAATGAAATTATGGGAAATAAAAAAATTACTAAATATTGTATTCATACAAATATATTATTTTAAAGGAAAAATAGATGCTGATAGAAACGATGAAAAATTTTGAAAACTTTACAATTAATTTATGTTCGTTAACCACAGAGCTTGCAATCCAAAGCTCACGTTAGACTACAAGAGTCATGAAGTCTCATACTAAGGGATATCCAACATATATTTTAATAATCTAATGTTTGTGACAAATATTCAACATAAAATTAAGTTTTCGTTTCGTTACAAGGCATTCATACTTTGGAGATATCATATTTAATGTACAGAAAAGTTAATATTAAACAATACATGCTAAAGAATTAATAAATAAGATAATAAAATAAATTTATACGTAATTACTTTCATTTAATATGCTTTATGCTGTATAATATTGATTAAGAGGCATTAAAAGGTTCCATAGTCTGCTTTTATAGGCAAGATTTTTGATAAAAATTTAAAATTTTGAAAAATGATGAGAAAAGGAAAAAAAAGGTAAATGAGAGCAAGAGGAGGGAAAAAAAGAAAAAGAAAAGAAAGGGAAGGGAAAAATAAAAGAAAGAAGGACATATAAAAATTTAGATGCGCATTCTTAATGCCGAGGCGGCTTGCCGCCGAGGCGCGATTTTTTTAGGCCTCTACGGTAACCCGGCAATGTTTTTTTAAATCTTGTACAGCCCTACATTAAACATATAAGACTTATAGGTATTACTATTTATGGCTCTTAACTTCTAATAAAATACTATTGTTGAAAAATAATAAGAATTTTCACTTGTTTTCTAATGTTTTTATACTAATTCCGATAGACCCATTTGATTGGTCAGAATTCGGTTCGAAAATCATTCTGACGATTTTTGAATTGACCGATATTTATTTTTCAGAAATTTTTCAAGTCACTTTTTAAAATTGTTTAATCCGACATTATTTATGCAGAGATATTGTCTTGCATTGATCGATGAGCTAGAGAGTAAAAAAATATTTATTTCAAACGGACAATCATGCGATTTGTAATCAAAAATTGAAAACTGTCAGAGATCAGCCCAAAATTTTTCCCCTCAATTTTCAGTCTCTTATATGTTGAGTACAATTCAATTTTTGAGGTGTCAAATTGAAAATCTGTCAAGGATTCTAAAAAAAAAAAAAAAAAAAAAAAAAAAAAAAAAAAAAAAAAAAAAAAAAAAAAAAAAAAAAAAAAAAGGTAGTGGGGCTTCCAGGCGCGTTGCGCCCTCTAGCCCCGAAGATGTTTAGTATAAATGAAGTTTTTATTCGGAAAATTGTTAGTCTTCTGGTGTGAATTCGGAGGACTCTTCGTGTTTCTCTTCTTCGTGTTTCTCTTCTTCTTCCTCTTCCATTGCTTCTGGGAAGAAGTCTTCTTCTGGGTCGAAAACATTATATAATGTGTAATTGAATGACACATTATATCTTTGTTTGAGTTCGCTCTTGACAAAGAACTTAGTTCCAGGAATACAGAAGACTTCTGTGCGTTGGAAAAGCTGATGTCCTGGAACAAATTTGGCAATTAGAGACTTCTTTTTTCCGAATTGTTCAGGAGTTTTCATGACGACAGTAACAACATCTCCATCTGCGAGGTCTTGTTCTTGTTCGGAAAGGTAAAGAGCAATGATATGAATAGTTGCTGCGTTGAATTCGAGAAAGTCGAATTCAAATTGTGTTGTCGTATAGCATTCAAACCATTTTGTACAGTTGTCTCCGAACTCGTCAACGTATTCATCTTGGTCATATCCGTAACTAAAGACTTGGAATTCGGCAATTGTCTTGTCGAATGACCGTTGGATGTTACGAGGAAGATTTTGACGAACTTGGTATAAAGTTCTCAACATTATAAGCTTAGTAAATGTTGGAAAATACTGAACTAAGACATCGCTAAGCTCAATTGGACTTGGAATTGTCTTAGTAAGTTCAATTGAACTAGCAATTGCTTTGTTCAGAACTTCACAGAACTGAGTATTGTATGTAGCGTCTGGTTGTGTATTTTCTTCGGCGTCTTTGAGATATTTAGAGCAAATTTGTTGAAGAATTTCTCTTAATTCGCTGTTAGACTTTTTGGTGGTTATTCTAACCGCTGTGCCGGTTCTTGGAGGTTGTGGGGCTTTGGCTTTGGTTAGCGGTTGAGAATTGTTGTTAACAGTGTTGGCTTCCATTATGAAAAATGAACTGTTTTTTCGGACTACTCATAGAAAAGTTTAAAATAAACCGTTTTCGTCAACGGTAACCCCCTCTATTTTTTTATTTTATTTAATAGTTACCGTTGGCAACCGTTCCATCTCAAATATTGAAATGAACTATAACGTTTTTTGTTTTCTATATATACTTTTTTTTGTCCAACGGTAAAACTTTTTACACAACGGTTTTTGAGAGTCGTCGCCGTTGACTTTTTTGTAGAGCACTCAAAATAGTATAACTTTGTCCGGACAAGTAAGGGTCTATCGTCGCTACAGGAAAAGTTACAGGCGTTCCAAGGAAGTATACTTTGAGAAGCCTTTTCCCCTTATAGAATTAGATAGGACGGTTATTTTACAAAAACTGACAACACTTTGACCGAGTAGTTTTTTGTGCTGAAAAAAAAAGTGTCATATAAACATCTGTCAAAAGCCGCTTTTAACTTCACTTAAAATGCCACGTAAGCTACGTAAGAATATACGTAAGAGGAAGGAGCATTGAAACATCCAATAGTAAAACTGACACCACAACAACAGTTGCAACAACAAATGCTGAATGACCCCACTATGTTGCAACAAATGTCAAGCAATCCTATGCTCTTAAACCGAGTTCTTGGTGCACAGAGTGGAGGTTTAAGAGCGGCACTTTTAGCGAAAATGGCAGGCTATGGTGGAGCTGCAGACGGAACAGCTATAACCCTCAAAGTCAAATGAATTTGAGTTCACTCAAAAATCAAATAACAGATGTCAAAAAGTCAAACATAGACATACAGAAGCAATAAGTGAAAACGAAAAAGAAACTAGAATTATGACAGACACACAAAGAAACTCAATGAGTTAAACGTAGAGAAAAAGAAGAAAGAAGAACAACTGAAAGAACTAAGTACAGAGGAATATGCGAAAAAAGTGTCAGAAAAAGCAAGCAGAAGTAGCAAAAATGGAACAAGATGTTATAAATTTGAAAAACCATACTACTCAATATAAAATACTGAAAGATGAAGAGATAAAACAAAAAGCCCTGAAGACATATATGGATAGCGATGAGTATAAAAAAGAAGTTGAAGCAAATGTAAAGGCAGAAAAACTTTTACAGTTGCAAAACCAAACCGTACAGTAATAAAACTTAGCACAAGAAAGTAAAAATAACGACGCAGCCATGCAAAAGGCAATGAAAAGCGCAGAATATATAAAAGCTAACAATGACTGGTTAGATGCCCAAGCCAACGCTAAAGCAGCCCAACTCATAGGGTCAATAAGGACAAAAAACAAGCGGATGAAAGACAGTTCAAATGAAGCTTTAACAAATGCTGACTTTAAGAAACGCCTTCGAAGCTCTTCATAGTAAGGTGAAACAAGTGAACGACTTTCTCATCTGGAAAGAAACTGAAGTCTGAAGGTTTCGACAAAGAGTTAAAAGAAGTAGCACAAAATATGACGAAAATAACAGATGCAGCAAGAGACAGGCAGTTCAAAGTGCCTATGACGCCGTTAGAGCAACTGTTGTGAAAGTCAAGAAAAAGAGTTACAACAGACCAAAACAGACCTAGTAAATGCTTTCTTAAAAACGAAAAGTCAGGTAGGACATTACGCTGCAGATGGAACATATGTGCCAGCTGGTGGAACTTATATACCACCAAACCCTCCAAGAGAAGCACCTGCACCAGGACTACCTAGAACATTTACATCGTCACATGGACACAGACACAGGCATGCACACAACCAGCACAACAACCACCTCCACACCAGCACAACAACCACACAACAACCAGCACAGCAACCAACAGTTCAAAACCCTACAACAACAACCACAAACAGAGCAAGGACATAAAAGAAGTAGAGAACAAGGAAACCAAGAATTCTTAAAAATGCTTAAAGAAGAGTGTGGTTTCCCAGATACTGTTGACTTTAGTGACAGATATAAAGAAGCTATTGAAAGTTCAAGGAAGGAAATACTGACCCGAACCTATT